ATAGAATGTAACATTTTGATATCTTTTAAGACACATTTGTTCGCTATTATTTTATAACTTTAATAATGTAAAGTACAAGAAATTCTCTTTGTCAACAATGAAAATTAAATAAATAAATATATCACAGTAATTGTTTTCTCGAGGCATTAATACAAAATTTTATATCAATTATTAATAATTATAATTATTGACAATTGCATGGCCGGCAAATGTAAACATATAAAATGTGTAGTACAAGATAGAATGTAACATTTTGATATCTTTTAAGACACATTTGTTCGCTATTATTTTATAACTTTAATAATGTAATGTACAAGTACAAAAATTCTCCTTGTCAAATGCATTAAAAATTAAACAAATAAACATACAATAAGCGTTTTTTCGAGCTTAGTAAATGAGATTTTTGAAAATGACACTCTGATAATTTTTAAACTTTAAAAAGCACTCTCTGTATCGTTCGTTAGAATTCAGATGCGCATTACATTGTGTGCACGTGACGAATTTCTCAATCTAAAAATAACGTCGTGAAACACATGCCGGGAGCATACGTTTCTTGGAGAGAACGAGGAAATTATTATCACCTGCCAACAATTTGCTTGAGCTTCCTGAGCAAATTATTCTACGTTGATAATCAAAACAAAAAAAGATGATTTACTGCGAACATCGATTCTTGTAACAAACATTGTAACTTGTAATAGTGTTTGCCATTTATTCACTTGACAATCATTCAACTTATATAATTAATTAGCCTCGGACTTTATAACTAGCTTACATTTTCAAAGCAATCTAAAAATTTTTACCGCAAATTTTTAATCACGTTCAATATTGACCGATCTCTAAAATATTTCAAGATGATTGATTGTCATCGTTTATTCATCCGTCAATTATAAAAATTAGATGAGATAAATCCAACTGGTATAAATACATGTGAGAATCTCTGATCGTTCGCTCTAATGATCACTTCGAGGCAAAATTCGAGCGAAAAAGGATAAACAGGTCCAGCAAAGCCAAGGACCTGATTACACCTTCGGGGTCCACGTGGACTCCTCCTCTGGACAATAAAATTTAAAAACCAACATACCTCTAAACTGTGCCTATTACGAACTTGTAGCCTCGAGATGTAAATGCGATTCGTTTTTTTTCTCATCTTTCGATTAAATAATTATAAATTTTAAAACACAGAAAAAGATCATATTATTGTAAACTGCTTTAAATATTATTTGTTTTAAACAGTATTAATCTACATATTTAAACAAAAAATCATGCAAAACTATTATGACCTTTTTCAAGTAATATATTTTATTATAAGTAATAATTTTCATGTGGCTTATTTATTATACCGTAAATTAAAACTATTCAACATTTCTTTTTTAAGATACGAGAGAAAGTTCGCAAAGAGGCGTTTCCACCTTATTTATCTTTCAATTAATATTTAATTAAGATTTAATTGATAAAGACAGTTCTGCTCCTCGCCTTTACAATCGCAAAGTGGAATTTCGCGCGTGTCCTTGCGTCGACAAAATCAACGAGGAAAGCTCGCGAGAGATGAAGAAATAAAGATGCTTCTTTTCTCTCGACGTCAGCCGGCGGATGGACGAGTCCAAGCGAACGCACATACGCGAAAAAAATAAAAGAGAAAGGGAACAGGAGCGAGGGGGGGGGGAGAAGAGGAGAGGAAGGGAAAGAGACGGAAAGAGAAAAACGGAGAGCGCTCGTCCTCGCTTTACGACTCGCTCCGAAAGCGAGGCCGAGAACAAAACGAGGTAGACAGGCATAGATAGACCGGGGAGAGAGAGAGAGAGAGAGAGGAAGACAAAGACGAAGAGAGAGAGAGAGAGAGAGAGGAGGGGAAGCGGGAGCGAGCAAGGGAAAAAGAGATGGAGTGTATCAGAAGGCGCTCCCTTCTGAGATGACATCCCCCCGCGACCTTAGAACTGAGGCTGACCTTGACCGTGTCAATCCCCACCAGGTCCCCTCGCGCGTCCCGGCTGCTCCACGCTTCTCCGCGCGCGCACCTCCGTCTTCCTCTCTCTCTCTCTCTCTCCCTCGCACCCCCCCCCCTCCCCGGTCCTCCCTGCTTTCATACACACCCTACACACAGACGCGTCATATTACGCGAATGCCGTGTTGCTCGGCGCTGCTGCTGCTGCTGCGGCTGCGGGCATCCTTGCTGCATCGACCGGTGCTCGCAAGCGAGCACCCGGTTCCATCCCTCTCTTTCGAAAGGGAAAGATAGAGAGACGCGAGGAGAGACCCCCTTCTCGCTCCTCCCTCCCCCCGTTCTCGTTTTTGCGACGCTCGCTCGTCAGCCAACGATGGGCACTACCCAATTTATCGAGTCCGGAATTCACAATCGCACGCAGAGAAGAGCGCCCGCTGATCGATATACACGCCATGTATACGCGGTGATAACGTACTTTATCGAGCGCGAGATGAAGGATGAGGCGAGGGGAGAGAGGAAGGGAAGGACGACGCGAAGGGAACACCCTGGATCATACATGCAGACTTGTTGTGCCGATAATCTTGGTTATCTTAATTGGAAGTAACAATCCCCGATATTTATTGCGTGTTTCGAATTCTGTCTTCGGTATGTATAGGAATGAGAGAGAGAGATATTTGGGGCTGTGCGCGGGAATTATGTACGTCGTATTTTTCAATCAAGAAATAATTGCTAAGTTAGGTATAAAATTAAGGATTTCACCATTTCTGTCTCTCTCTTTCTCTCTTTCTAGATTATTTATATTGAGGTCTCTTTTTTCTCTCTCTCTCTCTTTCTCTTTCTGGATTATTTACATTGAAATGGCCATCCTCTTATTTGTTCAGATTAAAAATTCAATCATTTATGATATTCATACTTTTTATCATAATAATAATTTATGCAATATCAATGTAAATGGTCAAAAGAATCTAAATCTATAAAAGAGATACCAAAAATGCAATAGACATTATTAAAAATTAACACATGTTAATATTCATATTTTTTTATTATAATAATAATTTATGCAATATCAATGTAGATAATCAAGAAGATCTAAGTCTGTAGAGAGATAACAAAAATTCAAATTTTGTTTGTTCAGATTAAACACTTCATTTAGAATATTCATACTATTTTGTCATAATAATTTATGCAATATTAATGTAGATGATCAAGAAGATCTAAGTCTGTAGAAAGAAATAACAAAAATTCAAATTTTGTTTGTTCAGATTAAACACTTCATTTATAATATTCATATTTTTTATAATAATCATTTATGCAATATCAATGTAAATGATCAAGAAGGCCTAAATCTGTAGAAAGAGATAACAAAAATTCAAATTTTGTTTGTTCAAATTAAAAAATTTCATTTATAATATTCATATTTTTTTATCATGATAATAATTTATGCAATATCAATGTATAATAAATGATCAAGAAGGTCTAAAGCTACAAAAAGAGATAATAAAAATGCAATAGATGCATCGTTAAAAATTAACACAGGTTAATATTTATATTACACTTCTTTATCATAATAATAATTTATGCAATATCAAATGTAAATGATCAAGAAGACCTAAATCCTAAATAAAGTAGAAAGAGATAACAAAAATTCAACAGACATTGTTGAAAATTAATTATGTATAAAATGACATATGTCAATTTCTTTTGCGCGAGATATGTATCATTTTTCTAAACTAGTAGTCGAGATATCGAAATACAAACATTAAACGAATATTTATATTTTATACAATCTCCTATCGCGAATCAGATAATTTTCCTCGGATCAATGCATCCTCTACTAGGTCACTTTAAATACATATCCACTGGAGAAAAAGCGCCCGGTAGTACGTACGTCGATAATCTTTGTGCGGCAAGGTTGAAAGGGGCGCGGTACACACAGAGAAGATCCAATATATTCCGGCGGAGAGAATTCGGTCACGGTCGACTCCTTCGATCTACGTCGCTCTGCAAATTCCGCTCTCTTGTGGTCCACGAGCGAGCAAGAACGCAGAATGGAAAAGGTCGCGGGTATCAAGACCGCGAGATCGTACGAGCCGGGTACGAGATATCGACACCTGTCGCGTAAGCAGATTAAAATTTTTTTCCGGAGTGAGGAAAAGATAAAAAGAGAGAGAGAGAGAGAATTTCAGAAGCAACTGTACTTACAGGGTGTCCACGAAATTTGCGATCGAATACTTTTTATACTATATAATATTTTATACTAAATATTGTTATAATTGTTAATTATAAAATGTAACAATAAATAATAAATATATACAAAATAAATAATATATAAATAAAAATAAATAAAAATGTAATAATAAATAGTTTTATAATTGTTATTAAAATTCTATTATTTAAAAATCAGAGTGTAATTTAAAAAAATATGCATGCCTCTCTTCACGTGTCTGTAGAATCGAGATTAAAATTCAAAATTACAAGTTTCAATCTCTGTTTACAATCAGGAGCCTCAACAAGTTCCAGGAAAATAAATTCAGAGCCTCTAATTCACATTCATATCCTACAATCAGCATTGTTATGTACGACCATTTGAGATTAGGTTAGGTCGTATTAGGTTAGCTTAATGATAGTATGGTACATACACATTTTAATGTTTACATATCAAAGAAATAACACCGCGAATAGCGATCTCTCCTCAGGAATCGATTTAATTTCCATTGTCCGTTTATTTCGACGTTATTATCTTTGGGTTCGAGCTAATCTAGCTAATGACACCGGTTCGCCAAGTCGGTCGACAAACCGATCGACGTGGCTCGCGAATGTCTCGGTTCGATCGACCTACTGTCGCGTACGATCGGCCGTGATAGAAAAGCAGAGGTTGCCTCGTCGACCCGAGATCGAGAACGCTCAGCTGTCATGCCATGTGCTCGTCTAAGCCGGCGTTATCGGCAAGGTCAACCGACTCGCGAGACGCTGTCATTTTAGGGGAAAATGGCGCGCGTGCAGCCACCAGGAGGCGATCCTCGAGCGCATCGCGACTTGAACTTTAACGTGGACTCACCCCTGTCGAATTTCTTGCCCTCCGGATCGATGTCTTTCACGTTAAAAATATCCTCGAACAGCACACCCGCCATGTTGCTAACACTAGTCCAAACTTCCCTCTTGAAAGGTTGGTGGGGGGAAGGCTTGATTGGCTCAGCGACATCTGCCTCGAAGTCTGAGTGTCAGAGAACTAAAATCGAATCACGTGACTGAGATGACGGAGTCGCGCCAAATTCAAAATCTATGCAGAGAGAAAAAATATAAATATAATGATAAATATAATAGTAATATAAAAATATAAATAAAATGTAATAAATAAAATATAATAATATAAAAATGTAAATAATATAAAAAATATAATAATAAATATAATGTTATTATTTGTTACTGATATTTATATTTTCATACATATAAGTATTTCGTATATTATATAATAAAATTTATAATACATATATCATGATAAAATTCCTTTCCAATTGATTTATTACTGACAATTTGTATTGTAATTTTGTGAATTACTTCAGGATCTTCAATCTTTGTGCACCAAAATTTTAAAAAATTTAACATTTATCAGACATAATGTCAATTGCAACAATTATTTTCTCAGTCTTTAGAGAAAGAGAATGAGTTCTATTTATAAAATTCAATTTTATTCTGATCTTGTAGCAAAAGTAATCAATAAATTATGGAAAAAAACTGAGGTTTATTTTGTATTTTTAGAATAATGTTTATATATAAATTGCTCGTTTCATAATTTTTTTCTTTTAAAAACCTTATTCTTCAAGTTTATAGAATTTACAATTGTACTTCACATTTGCTTCATTATTATGATACATTTCCAGGAATCGCGTCTGTTTAATCCTGCATTACTCATCATCCTCGTCAAAAGCCGCGAGTAAATAGCGCTAATGACACATTGTAAAAATAGAAACGTCAATTAAAAGAAACTGATAGCAATTCTTTTATCAAGCATGCAATAATAACGATAAAAATGATAGAAAGACTTAATCTCTAATTTTCAAGATTTATTATAAATATAATTCCACACACACATTAGCAGATATTGATTTCTTTTTCAATTATACTTTGAGGAGAATTATTGAAAAAAACGCACACGTAATTCTAGTTCCAGAATTATTGCACAGATTAATTCATGAAATAAATGAGCATCAGTTGCTTTGAATCTTGTATCATGATAAATTGAAAAATGTCAAAAGAATAATCATCTATTTCGAAAATTAGATGCATTCAAATCCACAGAATAGCTTCTATTTCGTAGCATTTCTCTTCGTGGCATTCATCATTCTTTTGTGCATGATATAACTTCCGATATAGCTTCGATATAACGCCATTATGTAATTGCGACGTGCGATTTGTCATGTCGTCATATATCGACGTGCATGCGACGACGTAATTTGAAAAACGAGAAGGAGCTCGTCGAGAGGATACGGAGCAAAAATAATTCGGTCGCGCGAGAAAAAAATAATTCCAAAGCCGAAGATCGATGCAATAAGGAATTAACGAATGCTTATTGGATTACTCGCACGGCCTTGATGGTCGCCAATAGAGCGAGCTACCGAGCGGTCATCGCTTTTTTACGCAGTATCGCATAATCCGCATTCGCGGATGATTACACCTTGACGAGTGTTCGGTCGTAAAAGGGCGTATTGTATCCCGATATAACGACATTCGCGCTTTGTACATCGGGTAAAATTAGATATTTCATAATCTTGCGCAATGCGGAATAAATACGCGAGCTACGAAAATGTCCGCATTGAAACGCTCGCATATGTTTATGCCCCTCATCGTCGATATATTTCCGGCATTCGATATATATTCTCTCTCACACAAGTGATCGCCTTTTATTGTTACCGACAAATTTCTTAGCAAGTTATATTTTAATATTTTGCGTTGAGATTTAAAAATATACTTACATGCACTATTAATGTTATTTATGAGTTAGACTACATGAATCATCATGTGCTATATAAAACTATAAATCTAAAAACCAATATCTCGTCCGTGCCGATTTATATTTAATTTATCGTACGACGAGTTTGTCGATGAGAGGAAGAGAGAGAGAGAAAGAGATGGCTACTATATTGAAAAAATTCTTGAGATTCTAAAAATTCTCCATTCGACAATCAGTTGAGATATCGCTATAGCTCGATATATAAAATATTGAATTAGCATTCCTATGACAAATTTTTATCTCCTAAATATCAATCGTAGGATTTAAATAATTTTTACATAAGGTTTTTACTGATTCTCTTATGAGGCTGGAAAACAGAAAATATATATTTTTAAAAAAATGTTTATCTAGTACTCTTATCAGAGGTTCTCTTTCTTTCTCTTTCTCTTTCTCTCTTTCTCTTTCACAGACGAAAAGCTAAACAAAACTGTCAAACGTGCAACGCGCGCCAAACAAAACCTACTTGAAAAGAACTAAACAAAGTCGTATTTCGATATATCTCACTTATTTCGATAGATCCCTCCCTTCCTTTGTCCATCAATGAATGTTCCATCTATGCATTTTACATATCTATGGCTTAACGCTACAAAGGTTTCGAAGCTTTTGATTGGCCAATCGGAATAAAGATAATTAAATTTTCCAATATTTATGCGTTTATTTTTTATGCGTCTAGATGAACATTATAGAACTGACACGATGTTAGGTCCATCTGTATTTGCATTTTTAATCCTCAGGGCGCATTCACACCTTGGCAGAAAAACAGACAAGCAGAAGCCAATCACAATTCGCGCTAGTAGTCACAATTTTTACTGTTTGCCTATCTAATGTATTGCTTACACGCGGCTTATTACCAGCGCGAGTTCTGATTGGCTTTCTGCTTTTTTACTTTCTGGTTTATTGCTTTACAAGGTGTGAATGCGCCTTCAGGATCTTCATATTTTTCTCTTCAACGCTCAAGTACTCGTTTCATTTCCAGTGAAGAAATTTCTGGGAATTGTAAGTTAAAGTTCTATCGCATATAAATAAATTGTATATATATAATCCTCACTAAAAATTTTGCATAAGGTTCAACATGAGCAATGATGAGGAATCTCTACTTCCCGAGGACAACGAGCGTGTAAGATATTTTTCTAGATTTTTATTTTTTTCTTTATGACATATACATTTGATTTTATCACAGTTATTTTTATTAAACTTTCTTATTAAGAATGTTTATATGTTATCTGTATAGTAGTAAATTTTCTATTTATATTTTAGGAACAAATACGAGAGGAGTTGAAACATATGAGTTTTGAGGATTTGCAGAAATTAAAGGAGAAATTGGGAACAAAAATGTATAATCAGGCAATATTTGGAAATAAGAGCAAGAGGAAGACAGAATTTAAAAGGGAAAATAAAAACAGGCCACGGGAAATGTCTGCTAAGAAACCAGTTTCTAGATTTAAAGAGTCAGTTTCAGTCAAAAAAGTTGTAGCCCGAGACCCCAGATTTGATAGTTTATGTGGTACATTTAACGAAAAAGCCTTTAAAACTGCTTATGCATTTATTAATAACTTGCGAGAGAATGATCTTAAAACCTTGAAACATGAATTAAACGAAACTACCGATCCAAAAACTAAAGCAAAGATAAAATATCTCATACAAAGGCTTGAAAATCAGCTAAGAGAGGAAAAGAAGCGAAAGGAAAAGGAAAAGAAGGAGCGGGAAGAAAAGAAGGAAGTGCTAGATACCATTAAACAAGGAGAGAAACCTGCTTTTAAGAAAAAATGTGAGTTAACTAAATAATTGACATAAATTCTTATTTTTCTTACGATTGTTATTTTATTTTGTTTGTTTCTTACAGCTGAGAAGAAAGTCTTGAATTTAGTCTCTCAATATGAAGAATTGAAAAATAAGGGTAATCTGAAGAAGCATATTCAGAGATTGCGGAAGAAGAATAAACATAAAGACAGAGCAAAATTGAAAACTTATCAAATGGAATAAAACATGTATACATATATACATGTGTGATATGTATCTATACATATACACATGTACCAAAGTTATGTAAAATGATAGGAAAAATGTCTTGCTTAATATGATATTGCTATTTTATTGTTATATATAAATTTTCTAATAAAAATAAATTTATGGAATTTATACATGGCCGATGGTCGATAACATCACATAGCGTGAATGTAAGGCATAAAAGTCAGTTCTTTTTATGTTACATAATTTATATTATATTCATTGTTAAGCTTTATCCTTGTATAATTTAATAAGCTCGTAATAACTGGATGAGTATCCTTCAAATTTGCTTGTATTTTTCTCGATAAAAAGAAGCTAGTAATAATTTGCTAGTAAATTTAATGACGTTTTACGACTGTTTACAATTCATAATTCACAACTGCTTCGATAGAGGTCTCTATATGTATATAGATAGAATGTTTATATCTATTTATATATATATGTATGATATATGATATATTTGTGTACGTATATATGTACAATGATAGAATCTCTTCGGTTGACGTTGACCTTTAATTCACTGTTGATCGACTGAAATTGATTATATAAAGAAACGATTATTTTCGATTCGAGTATTTACGAAGTGTAAATAATTCGAAAAATAAATGCATGATTGAACTTATTAAATTATTTCTTTATCAGTTATGTTGTGACAAAGCTTACATGTTAATAACTTTAGAAAATATTACTTATTATAATTTATTAAATGTAAACAAGGAAGCTGCAAATTTGGCGTAACAATGAATGAATCAACGAAGGTAATGTCATTAAATATTAAACATATGACTTTGTAATAAAGTTTTGTGCATTTAAGTATATTAATTCTGTACAGTTATTCGTTGGGCCTCCACCAATTTGGCCTGACATTAAATTGGAGTTACGGGAATATATTGAATGCCCTGAACGATTACCTATACATCAGCTGGATGATGCGCAGTGTTATTGGCCACGTATACCAGATGTTTGTTCATTATTGGAGTATGATTTGGCTCCGATCAATACTACGCTAAAGTTTGATCGCGATCCAATAACAGGCAAGATTGGTGAAATGCAAGAAATCATCTTGCAAGGTGCAGGGGAAACAGCAAGAAATTCTATGTCTATGACTCGTGCACCTGGACCGCTTATGGATGGAGTTAGAGGTGCATTGTTATCTTGTTGTTATATGTATCTCTCTTGATTAGAATTTTAACAGACATCAATTAAAACACAATCAGATACTATATATAATACTAAATATATTATTATGAATATATTTTTTATAGGTAATCCTAGTAATATTCCGTTTTGGCCTGGTGGTTTTGAAGAACCTAAAGTGCCTGAGAATGAATTCCTAAATGATATTGATTTTGAAAAAGATTTGAGGACATTAGCCAAAGGCTTTTGCTCGGGTGTAGAATTTAAAAGCGACAATTGCACGCCGATTAAATACACAGAGAATAAAACAGAAGTTGAAGAAATTAAAAACTTTGAAGAATTAAAAATCAATGATAATATCAATTTAATGGCTGTTGTACATGAGGAGGGAAATTCACTTGGTTTATGGTCTTCAATTGAGGAGCCAAAGAAAGAGAATATTCAAGTTTCGGATAATAACATTCCATTTACAGACATTTCTATTTTACCTGAAGAGACAAATATTCCTGTCTTGAAAATATCAGAGAAACAACCAGAATTTGTAAAGACAGAATGGGCAGAGCAATTGGATGTGTCTGCACCAATAACTGATTTTGACAAGAGAATACCTGATCCAGCAATTAAATTTGAATATGAATTAGACACTTTTCAGAAACAAGCTATTCTTAAGCTGGAGCAGAATAGTAATGTCTTTGTTGCTGCACATACATCAGCAGGAAAGACCACTGTCGCTGAATATGCCATTGCATTGAGTCAAAAGCACATGACAAGGTAGAACTTCAAAATCCATACAAATTTAATATTATAATATTAATATATATAATATTAATTACTTATAATATTAATTATTAATAGTTATTAATAGCTATTACATTGCTATTTTTTTTTTCATTTCAGAGTAATTTATACATCCCCTATAAAAGCGCTGTCAAATCAGAAATATCGTGAATTTAAAAGAAAGTTTGAAAGTGTTGGATTATTAACAGGTGATTTACAAATAAATCAAACTGCTTCATGCCTAATCATGACAACAGAAATTCTACAATCAATGTTATATTGTGCATCTGATGTTTTACGGGATTTAGAATTTGTCATATTTGATGAAGTGCATTATATAAACAATGAAGATGTGAGAAATATTGATTATACTAATTATCCTAAAAATGATCTCTTCTGAGTCAATAATTTATATGGTCCTATATGTACTTTTAGAGAGGTCACGTATGGGAGGAAATTGTTATTCTTTTACCACAAACGATCAATATAGTAATGTTATCTGCGACTGTACCAAATCCTATAATATTCGCGGATTGGGTCGGTCGTATTAAGAAGCGAAAGATGTATGTGATTAGCACATTGAAAAGGCCAATACCTCTTTTACATTACTTATACACTGGTACTGATGGTAAGACTAAAGATGATAAGTTTTTGGTTCTTGATGGCAACAATCAATTCTTATTGGATGGGTAAACCATTTCCCTTTTTACCTTTACATATATATTTGTGAACAAATAGTATAATAGTATAGTGTTAATAATATTTTATTTATGTACTTTATAGGTGGTACAAAGCGACGAATGCATCTGACAAGAAAAAGAATAAAAATGCAAAGGATCCTAGGAGAAGAATTCAAATGACTTTTAAACAAGAAGAAGTATTATGGAGAGCATTTATAAGTCATCTCCAGAAAAATGTACGTTTCAATAGTTACACTCATTTTACAGAGAAACTTTGCAGTTACATTCATATTTACATATATATTTATATATTTATTATTCTTATATAGTATAGCATCCATTTTATAGGATATGTTACCTGTTGTTGTATTTACTTTATCGAGAAAACGCTGTGATATGAATGCTGCTACACTGAGAAATCTCGATTTAACAACCGCGAGAGAGAAGCATCAAGTGCATGCATTTTTTCAATCTAATATAAAACACCTGAAAGGTAGCGATAGAGAATTACCACAAGTACTTATGATGCAAGAACTCTTGGAGAAAGGCGTGGGTATACATCATAGCGGGATATTGCCAATTTTGAGAGAAATCGTAGAAATGTTATTCCAAAGTGGACTCGTAAAGGTAATTTCGCAAAAACATATCAAAAAATGAGGCAATAATTAAGGAATATTAGAAGAAGTCTTGATAAAATTCTCTATCTCTTCTTAAAATTATCTTTCTCTTTCTCTTCTTAAAATTATCTCTGATTGAAAATACGTTATTATAATGATAAAAGTGTGTTTTTAGAAAAATTAAAAAATATAAATATAATAGAATTATTTTTAACTGCATTTTTTAGTTACTGTTCGCGACAGAAACTTTCGCCATGGGAGTTAACATGCCAGCTCGCACGGTGGTGTTTGATTCCATACGAAAGTTCGACGGAAACACCTTTCGTATCCTATACCCGACTGAATACATACAAATGGCCGGTAGAGCCGGACGGCGAGGTCACGACACAACGGGAACAGTTATAGTAATGTGCAGATACGATATACCACACTTTAATGACTTGAAACCTATGATGTGCGGCGAGCCGCAGACATTGGAGTCGAAATTCAAAGTTACGTACTCCATGCTGTTAAACTTGAGAAGGGTGAATGAATCCGTCACCGTTGAAGCGATGATGCGCAAGTCTTTCAAAGAATCACCGCTAGCATCACAGGAAGCGACATATAACAGCGAGTTACGAAAAGTCGAGCGAGAATTATCAAATCTACCTACTTTGACTGAGATACAAAAGAAGCTCTCTATGTTTTATCAAGTTGCAGTTGATTATTTGGAAGACGTTAAATTTTTAAATCCCTATTTGTTCGAGTCTAAAAAATCAGCGAAAGCTATGACCGAAGGCAGAGTCTTGTTAATATCATACGCGAATCATTACAACAAATTAGGTTTATTACTGCAAGTCGTGCATCATAAAAGTTCTACTCAATACAGAGTGTTGATACTCAAGGATGCGGATGCATCCAATTCCGAGGCTGCTGAATTCAAGAGTCCTCAGATATACGAAAAATGGTGCGAAATTATTGGTCTAACGAAGAAAAGGCTATTCGTTCCGAGCACTAATGCATCGCACGGAGTCGTGACCTTGTACTCATGGCATATATTGAAGATAACCAAGTGCCAGATAAAAGTCGATTGCTCCTTAGTGCTGAATGATTGGGAAAAGCGGCAAATCTCACGATTTAAGTAAGAAGTAATGTAAGCAAAGCAGCAAAAGTTCTTAGAATATCTTATTCATTCGCTATTTCCTTTCTCTAGGAACGATCCACCGGGACAGACTTGTCAAATGGCGGTTCAAGAATTAACTTCTCTATCATTTAACGCTGCTGCCAATGTTCAAATTTTATACCCTTATATCGAACCTGTATCGAAAAGTGATTTTCAATTAAGAATAAAGCATAAAGACAAATTAAAAGCCAAGCTCAACGACATGAAATGTATAGAAATACCAAATTTCGAAGAACAGTTTAGACCTGTATTCGAGCGAAATCAGCTCGAAGATAAAAAACGGCAGCTCCAGCTTAAACTTAGCGATGAAGGAATGGCACTGTATCCAGATTATCTGAATATGGTGGCACTGCTGAAACAATTGAAATATATAGATAGCGATGAAAGAGGTTTATTATGATAAAAGTATTTCTATGTATGTAATAGCATTGCATGTGAATAATATTTCTTTCCAACACAATTAATATTGATTTGCAGTTGCTTTAAAAGGAAGAGTCGCGCTGCAAATGGGTAGTAACGAATTGCTGATAACGGAGCTGGTTCTCAAGAATGTGTTAACAGTTTTACAACCGGCAGAAATAGTAGCGCTGCTATCAGCACTGATCTTCCAACAACGCACAGATTCAGAACCTACACTCACACCGAGTCTTGCTAATGTACATGTCATGGATTGTCTTTTTTTTTAAATAATAAAATTTAGAGCAAATTACATATCGAATAATTAAGATTATCGGAAAGCTAAAACAATATTCTTTACTTTCCAGGGTTGTGAAATAATGAACAAGGTGCATGCGGAATTGGAACGTTTAGAGCAGCAATATCAATTGTCGACTATACCGCCATTGAATTTCGGTTTGGTGGAAGTCGTCTACGAATGGGCGCAAGCTAAATCGTTCGCGGAGATCATGAAAATGACGGACGTTCAAGAGGGAATTATCGTTCGATGTATACAGCAGCTCGGCGAAACCTTGAGAGATGTTAAAAATGCGGCTGTGACTATAGGCGATCCGATTTTGAAAGAAAAAATGGAAGAAGCCTCCACTGCAATCAAACGTGACATAGTTTTCGCCGCATCTCTATATACTCAAGATTAATATGATTGTGAAATATAAAATAATTTAACTTTTGGAAATAGAAAAATGTATTTCTTTTATAAAAATAATGAACTGAATACACGCACATTGTTGAAAACGTAATCTATTTGTAAAAAATATCTTGTCCACAAGCATATACAATACTTCAAAATAATAACTTTTTGATAATAATTGTATAATAAAATGTAACTTTATAATCATAACTAAACGACATTATATTATATTTTGTATATGTTTGTAAATGTTTAAATGCTAAGCAGTAAATAACTTGCATTTTAGTTTTTTAAGATATACTTAATTTTTTCAAAGAAATTTATGTTAATGTTTATACAAATATTATTTTATTTCTATCAACGTCATTACAATGCACGTTGATCTGGATTATTAGGATTCCCTTGATCTTTATTCAATTCGGAGATACAAGCCCATTGTCCTTCGGAATTTTCGCGCCAGAGAGAAACCTTGTTATCTCCGCCACTAACTGCTAAGATACCGCCTGTCAACGACCAACTAACATTCCAGATTACATCATCGAAAACATTAAGAACGTTTGGTGTCCAGCTAGTGTAATCATTAGAAGTCCACACGACTACGCGACGATCTTGCGAGCAAGAAGCCAAGGCAGCTCTGGATGGTCCAACCGCTGGTGCCCAGGCTACATCTCGAACCTTTAAATTTGGTAAAATGTACATAGATTCTTCTTCCAATACGTTTCCATCATAATATATTAAATCATACCCAATCACTGTGCGCTTCTAGTTTATTTTCTTCTATCCATCTGTCGCCTTCTTCTTTCCAGATTTTCACTAAGTTGTCACAACCACCAGTAGCTAATCTCTTAACAGGACCGCTTCTTTGCTGAGTCGTGTTGGCCGAATCAACAGCTGAATCGATTGCCGGACACCAACTAACTGCATTGCACCCAATTGTATGAGCATTTGTTATTTTCTGGGTCTGCCAAGTATCCCCGGTGTTTGTGAGGATAGAGATTGATCCATCCGAGCTTCCGCAAGCCAAAATCAAACCAAACTCGTGCGGTGCCCAGGCAACCGAATTGACGGACGAATCGTGACCCGTGTGCTCGTATATCTTTGTCCATTCTCCCAGTTCCTTCCAGATGATCACCTTTCTGCGCAAACATTCACAAGTATGTTAAATTGTTAGATATCTTACGTCCAGTCGTTTTATTAAGAATTATCGAGTGTATCCTTGAGAAAAAAGAGACTTTACAATATTTTTGAAAATCTATTCATAATAATTTAGGAAAAAAAAAAAGAAAGTATCAGTGCAACGCTGTGTATACCTGTCATAGCTGCAAGATGCTAAGAGATTGCCAAACTTGGGATGAGCCCACGCGACCTGCCACACGGGTCCGATGTGTCCCTTGAGGACGGCAACTAGGCTCTGGGTGCCGTTCTTTAAGTCGAATATCTTCACCGAATTGTCACTGGAGCAAGTGGCTAACCTTAAACCGTAGTAATCCATTTCGGCATCGTGTATCATGTCCTCGTGGCCGGTATCGACGGTATTTAAGACAGACACCATTTTGAGGAGGCAACTGTGTCACAGACAACCCTTATAAATCACGAGATGATTTATACGAAAGAGAAATTGGAAGAAATTAACTTACAGACGCGACGTAGGTTATGTTGACGTAGCACTTGTCATTTACGTGGAGCACATGCGCGAGAATCGATTGCGCATCCTTTGCGCGCGCATGCGCAGTCGCATACGCACGCAAGCACTTGGGTATCTCGCGTTTCGAGTCAAAATAAAGTCGCGTAATTTCCATTTATTTATAATTTTCGTTTATCCGTCCTAGATAAAGATTGTGCATGCAGGGAATATATTTTATACATAAATAATTTGACTTTATCTCACCTGAAGATCGCATGTCGCGAACTGTAAGTATTAATTTGTCGTATTTAAGGTTAAATATCGACGCGAACAAAAAGTTGTGTTCGGGAGTTTCCTTTTTATTTATCGATATTTAAAAAGTATGCAAGAATGATTATTGTCATTGTGATTAATTTCAAAATGCGACAACAGAATTGATAAAGTTTAGTGTCACAAGGACTGTACTATTTTTTTAACAGAAAATTCTGGAGAAATTTTTCTGAAAGAGGAAATAACGCAGAAGAACGCGAATATTATTAAACCGATCCTGTTTTCTTTGTTAGAACAAGAGCTATTTTAGATAACGAAAATTGTAATTTAGACATTATTTTGACGTAAAATTGTCTCCTCTCGCTTTTCTGTCGACAAAACAAGGTAAGTCGCATCACGAATAATATTAAATAAAAAAAAAGAAAAGACAAAAAATCTCCTCTTTCTTACACCTTGATTTTCACTTGTTAATTTTATCAGTTAATAATAAGCAATGATTTATTTAAAAGGACTGTACTATTTTTACAGAAAATTCTGGGGAATTTTTTCTGAAAGAGGAAATAACGCAGAAGAACGCGAATATTATTAAACCGATCCTGTTTTTTTTGTTAGAACAAGAGCTATTTTAGATAACGAAAATTGTAATTTAGACATTATTTTGACGTAAAATTGTCTTTTCTTGCTTTTCTGTCGACAAAACAAGGTAAGTCGCATCACGAATAACATTAAATAAAAAAAAAGAAAAGTCAAAAAATCTCCTCTTTCTTACGCCTTGATTTTCACTTGTTAATTTTATCAGTTAATAATAAGCAATGATTTATTTAAAAGAACTGTACTATTTTTACAGAAAATTCTGGGGAAATTTTTCTGAAAGAGGAAATAACGCAGAAGAACGCGAATATTATTAAACCGATCCTGTTTTTTTTGTTAGAACAAGAGCTATTTTAGATAACGAAAATTGTAATTTAGACATTATTTTGACGTAAAATTGTCTTCTCTCGCTTTTCTGTCGACAAAACAAGGTAAGTCGCATCACGAATAATATTAAATAAAAAAAAAAGACAAAAAATCTCCTCTTTCTTACGCCTTGATTTTCACTTGTTAATTTTATCAGTTAATAATAAGCAATGATTTATTTAAAAGAACTGTACTATTTTTACAGAAAATTCTGGGGAAATTTTTCTGAAAGAGGAAATAACGCAGAAGAACGCGGATATTATTAAACCGATCCTGCTTCCTTTGTTAGAACAAGAGCTATTTTAGATAACGAAAATAGTAATTTAGATATTATTTTGACGTAAAATTGTCTTCTCTCGCTTTTCTGTCGACAAAACAAGGTAAGTCGCATCACTAATAATATTAAATAAAAAAAAAAGAAAAGAAAAAATTTCTTTCTTGCGCCTTGATTTTCACTTGTTAAATTTATCAGTTAATAATAAGCAATGATTTATTTAAAAGAACTATACTATTTTTACAGAAAATTCTGGGGAAATATTTCTGAAAGAGGAAATAACGCAGAAGAACACGGATATTATTAAACCGATCTTGCTTCCTTTGTTAGAACAGGAGCTATTTTAGATACCAAAAATAATAATTTAGACATTATTTTGACATAAAATTGTCTTCTCTCGCTTTTCTGTCGACAAAACAAGGTAAGTCGCATTACGAATAATATTAAATAAAAAAAAAAAGAAAAGAACAAATCTCCTCTTTCTTGCGCCTTGATTTTCACTTGTCAATTTTATCATTATTTTTTAGTTAATAATAAGCAATGATTTATTTAATAATAAACAATGATTTTTTTTCGAATGACAATCCAGACGCGCGCAAATTCACGAGGCATTTTTGACTCCAGCAACTTCATGTCTACATGAAGTATCTACAAGCCATATACATATGTATGCATGTATGTATATACATATGCCGTGGACTTTTGCCGGGTCTAGAACGGGCGACTATAAAATTTTCAATATGCCGTACGGTCGAGTGGCAATCGCAATTAACGGTAATTACGTTTACCCGGCCAGCGGATGTGAAATCACGGAGCGGAATTGTTTATCGATCGCGAGGAGTCGATGAGCGACAGCCGACGACGACGACGACGAAGATCTCGACGCATCGAATCGCATCGCATTGCGAGGTATACATAAACGTAAGCAGCATAACAAAACGTTGATGGAAGCGGAAATGAGTATCGCGCGAAGCCTCGATGCGAGTCGTCAAGTCTGAATCGCGTGTCGCTTAAGCGAAATAGTAATTGTGTTTGCAATTGGATTTGCGCGGATCCGTATTGTAGTTAATGGATCTCCGTCGTCGCGTTAATGCATTTGCGGACTGTTACACTAATGCAACAATGTCGAGAATTACGATTAAATCATGATAGGGATAATAACATTAATTTTTACTTGATAAAGATAACAACTGTCAAGTAAGAATTACAGGATAAGAATTGCAGAAATTTAAGTTGGAGTTTTTACGCGATAAAGTTTCGTTACATTTTGAATAATTATTTGAATATTAATAATATAAGAATAACTTGTGTAATAATGGAAATTTATGTGACTAAGGAAAACTAATTATGAATTTTCATTTTGTATAAAAAAGGTCTTATTATTTTATTATCTTTATATAAACTATTATTGAATTATTATTTTATTATTACTTATTATTTTATTATCTTTATATACACTATTATTACATTATTATTTTTATACGCTTAAGGTAAAAAAAATTATGGTATAAATTACAAGGAAAATAGATTCATTTTTACGATACTTATTGTAAAGCTATAAAAAATATAACGACATTAAGATGTTTTTACTGCTATATAAATTATAAATTGTAAATTATTTATTTGTTCTATTGTTTGTTAGTGATTATGCGTTTGTTTATGTATTAAAAAGTATTTGAATATACATATATATATATATATATATATATATATATATAATTATAAAATATTCTTTTATAAAATATAATTCTTATTGATATAATTCCAATATAAATATAATTCTTATATAGTATATAATTCCAATATAATATAATTCCATTGAATATAATTCCAATATAAATATAATATAAATATAATTCTTATATAGTATTATTGAATATAAAAGTATAATGACAAGCAAAAAAAACAATAAAAACCAGCACAATAATTAGAGCGTAATAATATATTTATTATAAATAAGTTATAAAAATATAATAGGTTCTCTTATATATGTTCCTTGATTACAAAAATTATATTATAATTTTTACTATAATATTTTCTCCGTTACATTATTTTATTATTATGTATTATTTTATTGGAATATTGTTGTACATTATTTACATGCGGGAAATATATTTTATTCTTTTAGATATCGAATATGGAATTTCGATCATGACGCATTCTCAAGTGGCTCCTTCATTCAAGCGGAAATTCAGGGCGATGAGTCCGCGGGTTCCGGTTGCTCGCGATCTTCGGGTCGCCGGTGCGTGAACGATCGCGGTGTCGCCGTGAGATCCGGTCGGAGGAGGATCGGAGGAAGGATCAGGAGAGAGGGGAATGTCGGTCACTGGGCCTCTCCTCTCAACGACTACTCGGTGCCACGCTCGTGCCCCGAAGCCGTCTAGGGAGGGCATCGTTCGTATGGAGATTTCCCTACCTCTCTCCTCCATTGTTCGTCTTTCTCTCTATTCGTTCTCTAACATTCCTCATGTTTCCATTGCCTTTCTTCACGAATGCAACGTTCCGGGTCAATACACGCCGCTAACGAACAGGAATTGAAGAGTTCTTCTTCACACCATCGAGGGTACTATTCTTTTCTTTTTATACCTCCGACTAAATTCTCCCGCACAAAACGCGAAGATAATAAGACTTTTTTATTGAGATATCACAGTAACAATAGTTTCTGAGCCGCAAGCGATCAAAAATAATTTCTTCTAAGGAAAATCTATGCAGAGATTTATATAAATTTATTTTATATTATTTTATATAAATTACTTGTACTTATTTTATATTTTTTATATTTTATATTGATGTTTTATATAAATTAATTCAGAACGACTATTATTTATTTATCAGTCATATAAATTATCATTAATTTGTACACGTATAAATTAAAAAAGTATTTTTGAAAGCGCATTCCTGATATTGAAAATCTCGCGACATTAATATTTAGCGTTGTAAATAAATAATAGAAACAAATCATGTTTGTGTATGTAATTTCAGGATGTCCGAAAGAATGCGGGATAGAAGCGTCACAAAAGTGCGCGTTTGCGTATCACCGCGCGAGTTTCCACGCCGGCGCGGCGCGACTCGGCCGCGAATACCGCGAGTACCGTAAAGGTGAATAAGCGGGTCGCACGAGGATCGGATTCCTCGCCTAGCAGAGAACCCGGACTACATTATTAATTTCCAACACGTGCGCGCTGGAATTAAACGATTGACGATTTATTCGGCAAGAGAGGGACAGAGAGGACAAAAAGAGAAGCAACGGGGAAAAAAGGTATTTACATTTTCCTCACAAAATATACAATATTAATAAGTGACAGTTGATAGTCGTGCATGTATATATGCAATATTGGCACGCATTAAATTCGATTTGACAATATTATAGATTTATAAGAAATAATTTAATGTATAAGAATCATATATATATATATATATATATATATATATATATATATATATATATATAGAAAAATTATTAAATTATCTGTAATTCTATATATATATATATTTAATAATTTTTTTGACAACATAATTTTTTTAACAATGAAGTCAAAAATATTAAATAGAAATCTTTAAATTATTATTGAAACAAAAAAAAAATGTTTGTTGAAAGAAAATCTAAAATTTGTTATATAAAGCATGCACCAGCAATGAGTTAAGCTTCAATTGAAGTTCTCTTAAAACGAAATCTATTTCAAATGGAATTCTGAAATTTTTTTTATGAAACTCTATGCTCTCGAACCTTGTTGCAGTGATATTTTTATTGGAAGATTGAGTTTATAACCACAGTCAAATTCCATTCGATGGTTGACAATAAATTCCGAGATCGAATCTCGAATGTATTTCGTCGTCTGAGAACTTCCCCGCTTTTTTGCTGACGCGATGACAAATTTCTCGATGGAGAAGTCCAACCGGATGCTGGGCGAGCATCTTTCTCGTCGGAGCAATCGTGGGTGCTTTTGGGTCATTCGTTTCGATCGATTGGTCTGCCTCATATATTATTGATACGATCGCTCACGTCGCGGTCATGACACCGTGCATTCCGATGTTGTGCAAGCCGGCAATCTAGCTGGCTAATAAGCGCCTCGTTATGCAAATCCTGCGATATTACTATAGCGCAAATTTATCCCCGGTAATGGCTTTGAATCACATTTCCGTACAAGACAATAGGCGCATTTGTTGAATGGGAGAGTACACATTCAGGATGAGCATTCTTTACTTAAAAATGTTGGGAAGTATGTTAAATAGTTAATGTCTCTTCATTCTTTTATTTTCGATTCAGCGGATCATTATTTCGAGCGTGTCGGTTGAAGCAGAACCAAATTTATTACTTATTCCTACAAACTAGGACGAGGTCTTGATCCCCGCTCAGCTTAATCGTCAACATCCGTTCATCGATCAATATCGCGACGAGAAATATTAGATCGATGAGAAAATGAGGTAACATGATTACACGGTCAATCGATATAGTTGGTATTATTGTAATTATATCCTTAAAAGAGCCGGTCGCGCTTATTCCCCATCAGTATCGCGATGATAATCTACAAAGGGATAGAGATGTAATTGTTACAAAGCCAAAGAGGAGAGCCAAAGCTCACCGACTCGCGCGGATAATTGTTCCAGTCGTCGCGTCATCTTCTTCTCCCGCTCGACTCCAGGATTTCATTTCGGAGCGCGATCGATTTCGATCCCGATGTCGGTGACCGCACCGTACATCGTCAGTAGGGCCGTAGAATTCTAGAAGGGGGTCATCATACGAGGCCGCGCCGAACACGACGAGCCAGTGCACGAGCGTCGTCCGGCGCGAACTGAGCGAAAGGAACGGGAGTCTCCGCGCGAGTCTCGAAGGATCACACGAGGAAGCGGCCTCGTCGTCGTCGACGTCGTAAACATCGAAAAACGAAGGTCGCGACATCATCGGGGTGCTTACCGCGCGATTTTTCACGCCAAAGTAGAGGCGCTTTTTTTTTAAGGGGACTTTTTGTGCACCCTCGAGGCGACGGTTTGCCGGTGACATCGGTGAATTTAACCGTGTTACATCCTCGGGAATTGATACGATCGAGGTGAGTTCCGGCTTATGTGCTACTTTTCGGAAATACGAATAACTGCGATTTCCGAGATTCTTTTTAAATGCAATATTATTGTGTAGAATAACATAAATTTTATTGCGATATTTTTATGAATCTTTTAAAGACAATAATAAAATGCAATTTCGATCGTCTATTTGTATTTGTTTTTTTTTTTTACATAAGTTGACAACGAATTAAATAATAATTATATTTTCTGCTGAAATTTCTGTACAATTTATATATCGATAATAATAATAATATTATTGAGAGACGATTATTGTGGAATATAATTTTTATTGTTAGTCGGAACAATAGCTAAGCAATCTGCGAAAAATGAAAAAATTGGATTGCCTGAATTATCGATAGGTTGTAAAACTGCAGTTTTATTTCCTCCAAAACAAAAATTTCACACAGCTATTGTTGCATCGAGCGCTTGTTGAATATGTTTTACCGAGCCAAAGAACGAGTCGGTTTTTCACAAAAAATTATCAAGTAATACGCGCAACTTTCTAGCGGGGGTAGATTTATTTCCGACGCGCAAAAATTTTTCTCTCTCATCTCGAGATGCTTGCTGATTTATTTATGAGCGCGGAGAGAAATTCTCTCTTTTTTTTTTTCTTCTCGAGAGAGGATACTTTCCAGGCCACGATTAGAATGAGGCTTAAGCGGATCCATATTCCTCTGGGAAGATGGTGCTATGGAAATTTCTCTAAAGAAACTTTATCCTTCTTAAATGGCTTACATTAAATCATGCTCCTAGAGTAAAGCCTCGATATTCAACTTGACGCTTTCGCAAAAAGTTTGCGTTACGAATAATCATATTTCGCGGAATATTTCCGAGTTACACGATTCATTGCCTAAATCGACGTTAACTCTTCCGCGTCTTTTTATACTTGTTAAAATAGAGATTAAACCTGTATTAAAGCGATTTCCATCATTATATTCGCAGCAACGCTTAAATAGAAAGTGAGGGGAAAGAAACTTTTTATAGTTCTTACGCATTCGACTGATACATTGTGATCGAACATATTATTTCCTGTATTTCTACGATATAAATCTTGTAATACATGTATCGGAAAAGAAAGTTGCTCATTCCACACATTCACTTTGAGAAACTATCGAAAACTTTTAAATTTTTAAGCGATATTTTATTTACTTATTTTAAGTGATATATTTAATATATATTTAATATAATTTAATATAATTTAATATAATTTATTTTTTATTTATTATTATTTTATATATAATTTATTTATTTTATATAATTTATTTTATATATTTGATTTTATATAATAATATTTAATATAATTTATTTTGATATAAACTTGTATAAATATACTAAATGTAATACTAAATATTTCAAGTTTTTCAAAGGAAATATGCATCGTGCTCAATTTTTTCTTTTAACATATTACATAAATCATTAATTAATATTTTAATTTAATTCAATATTAATATTTTAATTCTGTGACTTCAATAAATAACAAAAATAATTTACAAATCGAGGAATATAAAAACACATTCGCGTGTTTTATTGAAAAAAAATTGGGGAAAAAATTGGTGAATTTTTCCTACATTTTATTTGGACTGTATATTGTTGGACGTTATACATTTTCCCCGTATTTATTTTACTGTGATAGATCTTTGCGCAAGTCAGGACTGTACACATCGGTCAGAAGCATTAACCAATTCCTCTCGCGGAACCTATCCTGGCGTGTACTTTCTAAATAGCCGCAAGAATGCACAATTCTCTCGTGTAAACGCGCGTTTTCCCGAACCGCGCCTCGCGTGCGCGTTTACGCAGGATGCGCCGCTAAGAATTTTCAAACGCGCGTAGCGGAATTCACGTCTCGAATCTTTACACGGGTTGCCGCTATTCGATGTACCGCATTGTATAACGTTTTCTATTTGCGCGATATCCTCGCGCACGTGAAAGCAATTTCTTTTTTTTTTCACGCGTGCCCGTTCCGCATCGTTCGATGGAACTTTCAACCGCGTAAAATTCACGCAGGCTTACTCATGCTTATGACTAACATCGCTCATTTGCGTGCGAACTTAATTAAACGAAATTTTACACGATAAAATATCTAAACATCGATTTATTCTTCGCGATCGCTAAAGCGCAGGGATGTTTCATTTTTAGCGACTTTACTTTGACAGTTATCTCACTTTTTCATTTTTTTATTTTCGTTTTAGATTCGCGTTTCACAATGTTTGCAGATACGTATGAATTGTTCGCGTTTCTGCAAAAACAAAAAAACTCGTCTGCCAGGCCGCTCAAAGAGAGTAACAGGATGCTCGGTTCGACGAGCGTCGAAATTTTGACGGCGCGGCGGTCTTTTGGTCGAGAGGGAATTTTTCGATGCGTCTCTCCGAGCTCCGCTCCAAGCAAATCTGTAATACTTTGTAGTCGTCTGACAACACCCGTCGCGTGCTGCTTTTCAGGAGCATACAAAGAATTTCCAATAGCGTTTCGCGAGGAAAACAGCGGCGTATTCCCGTAACTTCCGACAGAGGAGACGGCTCGCGCTCTTATCTCTCTTTCTCTCTCTCTTTTTTTATTCACAAGCTTTAATATCACAATTTAATACGATTTGTTCCGCTTCTAAATTTCTGGTCTGCTTTCATTACGAAATTAAAGTTGGAGAATTGTCCTCTCTCTTCTCTATTTAAAAATATAAAGTATCATATATATAATACACCATGGAAAATATTAATATTACGTCGCGAATTGCGATGGAGAGACGCGGTGCTATTTTCATCCTTCTCAACTATAAATTACGCCAAGCTGCGTCAATACGTTTATACCGCTTTGTTTCGAAATATGATGAGAGAAGGGAGAGAAGAAATTTTTTTAACGCTTTGATGGTTCGGATTAAAGAGTTTTCGCTTTTTTTATTTTCGCAAAGTGCCGTTGACCTCGGGCGTCGCATCTAGTGTACTAATGTAAAAATCTGGTTCCCTATGCATACACACGTACGGCGTACACGTGCGATTTAAAACACCAGAAAATGTCGATTTTTCGAGCTGTTCGTAGAGACGCGATGTTGCAGAACACCGCGTCGTGATACGTTTTTCCACGATGTTTTCGGAAAAAGGTGAAAAAAGATCGGAGCGCGAACGAGAGAGAATTTCCCTGGCGTTTCGTCCCGCGGGAGGAAGTCCGCCCGTAGGCGGAAATCCATGGGTCGTCGGTTTCGGAGCA